ATTATATTTATATTACAATCTAATTTATTTTACAAATTTTTTACAAATTTTTTTATTTCACTTTTAATTAAAGGGTAGTGGTGATGAAAATTCACCAATAGTTGACCTACGGACGCCGTTAAACATCTTAGAAACTTATGCAAAACGTTGCAGAACCTCGATCGAATATGAATATAACGAAAGTCCGCATCGTCTCAAATCAAGCGTTTATGTGATACGTGGAAATCTTGGTGGATTTGCTGGTAATGTCTTATGTAAATATATAATAAATTCGTTCGATATCTTAAATTTTAAACATTGTTTCATACGATTTCGTAAGTTCATTTATATTTCTCATTACGAACATTATTATTTTTCTTTTCTTTTTTTTTTTTAATTAAAAATATTGGCTAGAGAAAACTCTATCCAACATCTATATATAACGTGACACAATGAATATTAAAAATTACGTAAAAATCGATTCATTCAAAATTTTTTTCTTCCTAAATTCTCAAAATAGATAATTACTTATAATATACCTTGCGTATTAAAATTGACAGCAACATGTAGAGGTTTCTCCGAAGAATCAACCAAAAACGATCTGGCCGCGACAATTCTGCAAATGATTGCAAATAAACAAATGAAGGACGAAAAACTTGGTACGCTCGCCGATCTTACACGTGAAGAGTATGTAGTAAATAAAAATTTAATTCACAACCATTATAATCTATGGAACAATATTGTAATCATTGAACGTACTCCGTTTGGCAGATTGTTAGAGATAATTAATCTAGGCATGGACGGTCTGAGAGAAACTGCACAAAGAAAGTTATACCAACTTTGCCTTGAAAAAGACGTTTCGGTTCCAAAATATACTGTAGAAAAAGAGAAAACGTATCAGGGTTTAACTTATGTCGCCACTTGTTCCGCCCTAGGTTACACTAGCGAAGGTTCACTTTTAGAAATATAAATATAATTTTTCTTCCCTATTCAATGTATTTCTTTGCTCTATTTTATTTTCTTCTTGTGTTTTATTTAGCCTTCTTCTCTAAATAAATTTAGGTCGTGGCTTGAGAGAATGCGTGGCCAAGAAAGCAGCCGCTGATGAATTGTACCATCAATACTATGAAGATCAGAAGGCAAGACTGAAGGTAAGCTTTTTTTTTTTTTTTTTTTTTTTTTTTTTTTTTTTTTTTTTTTTTT